TCCACCAACAAATTGCTGACCATACTGTTGAGCAATCCCCCACAAAAAGTCCCATAAAATCTGTCACTGTGCAAGAAAGTAAGAACTCCAGCCCTTCAAAATAAAACAATCTACTAGGTTAACATGCTCCCACTCCTTCACAAACATGAGTAAAATCCCCTTGCCAAATAGGACCAACAGACTAAGATCCCTTCCCACTTGTTCAAACACAGGTTTAGCTGCATCATGGGTTATCTTGCAGATAGCAGATGACTTCAGGGAACTCGGAAACATACTGAAGAAGAATGTCCAAATTAACTTCTCTGTGATCCTTCCTGTCCCATGAGCAAAGGAATACAGAAGGCAGAAGACTCTGAAAGAGAATCACTAGCTAAGTGAGTGATGTAGGGTGGAGGGTTTGGGTTTGTGAAATATCGGTCCACCTTCTATGCTGACAGACAGATGTATAGTTTGGATGGCCTCCAACTCAGTAGAAGGGGGACCAATCTTCTCGGGGACAGGCTGTCTAGAGTAGAGTAGTTAAACTAATAACAAAGAGGGCGGGCAAAAAGAGGGAAGATATGAGCACTTAGCACAACAATCGAGATGATGAGAACATAATTAATCAAGGAACCTAAGGACATGAAGAGAAGAAATTATTTAATTGCCTATAAATCAAAGCTAGGAGCCTGGGCAACAAACAAGAGGAAATGGAATTGTTCATTTATTATCCTAATTTTGAATTAGTTAGTATTAGTGAAACTTGGTGGGATGATTCTGATTGGAATGTCAAAATCAGTTGTTATAATTAAGGCCCTATTTCATTTGTGATATTGCGGATCCTGCAATATTAGAGTTCTACCGCACTTTTGAATTTAATTAGCTTACTTTGCACAGTCCATTTTGAGTATGCAATTAGTACTGCACTAACATTAAATGCCTGTACAATGTAAAAGGCTAAAGTGACTGGACTTGGACTTTTTATAGCAGTTGTGTTAAAACTTTAATCTTCTGAATTTTATATTGCACCGGTCACTTTTTATTTTTTAAATGAATGTAATATAGTTGCAGCAAAATGTCTGGTTATCAAAAAAATTAGTAGGCATAACATAATACTGGAGCGTTTATATATCATTCCAGCAAATATTTCTTAAACCAAAAGGTCGACTCTGGCTTTTCCAAACTGTAGCTATTAATAGAAGTCCATTATTACTTTTCTGTGATTTTCCATGTCTTGTCCTCAACTCAGCTGCAATTATTTTACCTCTGTGTTTGGCACTGCTGGAATACTGTGTCCAGTTCTGGTGTCCACAACTCAAAAAGGATGTTGATAAATTGGAGAGGGTTCAGAGAAGAGCCAGGAGAATGATTAAACGATTAGAAAACATGACATACAGTGATAGACTCAAGAAGCTCAATCTATTTGGCTTAAGAAAGAGAAGGTGACTTGATTACAGTCTATAAGTACCTACATGGGGAAAAAATATTTGATAATGGGCTCGTCAATCTAGCAGAGAAAGGTATAACATAATCCAAGGGTTGGAAGTAGAAGCTAGACAAACTTAGGCTGAAAATAGGGCATACATTTTTAACAGTAAGAGTAATTAACCATTGGAACAACTTATCAAGCATCGTGGTAGAGTTTCCATCACTGACACTTTTTAAAACAAGACTTTTTTTTAAAAGATATGGTTAGGCATTATTTTGGGAAAGTTCTATGGCCTGTGTTGTACAGCAGGTCAGACTAGATTATCACAATGGTTCCTTCTGGGCTTGGAATCTATGAACTGTTAGGGAACTAACCTCTGAATCACTATTTCCTGACTCCTGATTGCCCTATACACCCATGTTCAAATATAGGCCTGACCATCAACAGTCACCCCTTCTCCAAACACAGGCTTGATCCTCATGGATCTCCTAGTTACTTACACTGCCCTATCACCATCATACCCAAGCACCTCAAATATTTAAAAAAAGAAAATCTCTCTCCCACGCACTTTCCAACAATAGGAGAAATAGTCTGTGTTGTGAGCCTGTCCCTCTGTGCAAAAAAAGCTTATTGAGGGAAAGCCAGGCCTAAGATGGATTGTGCATGGAGTTCTGTGGTCGTTGTATCTACTGCAGAAGAGTTCATAGACTAAGTCTACCTCCAGTGCAAGTTGAGTTTCTAAGGCATTAGCTTTGCCTATCAGTCTGCCACCCAGTCCCCTTCAAACACATGTCCTACTGCCAGGATCCCGCTCTCTGCACCTCAAATACAAGCCGCAAAGTCAAGTATTCCACACCTCGCACTGGCCTGTCAGGATTTCCATCTCCCTTGCCCAAAGCACAGGCATCTCTGCTAGTGATCTTACAGCACAGGGCTTCCCAAAAGAAATCCCCATCTCCAACACAAAACTGATTGAACATGGAAGAGAATTCTTGCCAAATACAGGCACAACCATCAGGGATCCTTGGCATCCAAATGTCCTACTTTCAGAGAACCTTGTCCCTCAAACACAGGCAAGACTGTCAGTGATTCCCCCAATCCCATTCTATGTTATGCAAGAATTCAGGCTAGATGATCAAATGATGTCTTCTAGCCATAAAAAGTATGAGTTTACCAATTCCAAATATAAAATCAGTTTGTCAGAAAGCCCCTCACATCTTCATCTAAAACACAGGATAAACTGTTAAGGTTTCCCTGGCCACCAACCATAGGTTTAAGGAGGGGACATCCCCATCTAAACACCAGCTGAAATGTCAGAGGATTTCCTGCTCCTTCCCCACAACCATAATCTTGCTGGGAACCTTCCCTTTCCCAAACACAGGCTCGGCTTTCAGGGGTTCCCCTTGTCAACCCAAATAGAACAGATTGCCTGGGATTAATCCTGCCAACCTAAACATAGGCTAGAATGTCAGGTAGTCACCTCTCTTATCCCTTTTGACACAGGCTGGTCCAGGGATTTCCCTCCACCAGAACCACACAGATATATGGAACTGTCATGGACCCACCCCCTCTCCACTCATGGGACTGACTGACCGAGGTTCCCCACACCCACAGTCAGGAACATCAGTGATCCCTTTCCTCCCAAACATGACTCCCAAATATAGACCTTATCAAAACTCCTCACAGGCCTCAAGGGGTATATCTACACTGCAGCTGGGAGCAAGCCTCCAAACCTAGGAAGACACTTTCACTAGCAGGACTTGAGCTAGCATGCAAACAGCAGTGTGGATGTTGCAGCTCGAGCTGGAGTTTAGGCTCTCAAGTCTATGGGGTCAGATGGGGTTGAGAGCCCAAACCACAACATCCACACTGCTATTTTTAGTGCACTAACTCAAGCTCTGCTAGTGAAAGTGTGTCTTCCTAGATTGGGAGGCTTGCTCTGAGCTACAGTGTAGACATACCGAAAGTCAATGATCCCCAATCCCTCCAAATGTAGACCTATCAAGGATTCCTCACCCCACCCTAAACACAGGCCTGTAAGGGATCTCCCCTGCAAATACAGACCCATCAGGGATTTCACTCCCCCACATACTCCAAACACAGCATTTCCCAATCCAAGGTCATGTCACCAGGAACAGTCAGACTAATGCAGTGAGGATACAGAACAGATGAGAAGAACTGGATGACTCTGAATCTGACTACTGATCCATCCCCAATAAAAACACGTGGCTGTGGACATTTCTGTGAAAGGCACTTGCTTTCCACCCCTACTACCAAAGGGCTCCTAATTAAACTGAATGGCCACAGGAAGAGCTAACTGGCCTAAATGCTCTCACACAAGCCTGATTACTAAAGAACTCCCTGCTTCCTAATACACAAGCCAGGTTGTGATGGATTCCCTCTCCCAAGGCACAGGGCCTGGCTCTCAGGGAACTCCCCCTTCCCCCAATGCACCGGGGATGAGGCTGGCTGTCAGGGATCCCCCCCCTCAAGGTACAGGACTGACGGTCAGGGACCTCCTCAGCAGCCTCAAAACTCAGGTATGGCTGTCAGGGATCTCCCTCATCCCCTCAAAGCACGTACCCCAGCTGTCAGGAATATCTCTCACCCACAGGCACGAGGCCCAGCTGTCAGGGATATTCCTCCCTCTTCCCCAGGCACGGGACCCGCCTATCAGGGATATCCCCCCTCCTAGGCATGGGACCCCAACTGTCAGGGATATTCTCCCTCGGGACGGACCTGGCTGTCAGGGATATTCATCCCCACACCACCACCTCGCAGGGGCCCTGGCTGTCAGGGATATCCCCTGCCTCCAGCCCACTCCCAAGCACGAGCCCCTGCGGCCGTCAGGGATATCCCCCTTCCCCCTCCCCGGCAGGAGCCCCACGGCTGTCAGGGATATCCCCCCGTTCCCGACAGGCACGGGCCGCGGCTGTCAGGGATATCCCCCCCCGGCAGGGGCCCCCGGCTGTCAGGGATATCCCCCCCCGGCAGGGGCCCCCCGGCTGTCAGGGATATCCCCCCCCGGCAGGGGCCCCCGGCTGTCAGGGATATCCCCCCCC